TAAATGCTAATAATAAATGCTAATAATAATGCAAAAGAACCTAGAAATTGGTCATGTTTTCTTAGGGAGATCTATAACAGTATATGATGATGATGAATTAACATCCAGTGGGAAGAAAACAAATAGTTAGCTGTTATTAAAATAGAAAAGTTAGCATCTCTTAACTATGAAATGGGCATAGTATGTTAGATTCATAAAACAATGGTTTTAATTTACCTTGAAATGGTAAAGTATACCATTTTGTTATTATACTAATGATAAAACAAAATCACATTTTTATAGAAATGTCAGTTGCAATATAGTTTATTAGTATTAGAATAGTTAACAATGAACAAATGTTTACATTGTATTAACAAAGAATATAATGTAAACTAAAAAACCGGAAAATAGCATGACAGTGTTTTGCTTTATTTTAAGTTACATGTCTTTATAAACTACTTACACCTACAGAGTTTTAAAGGTTTGACACAGTATATGTCAAGCTATGAAAATAGCCTGCTAAATATATGACCAAAAGGCATGAGCATGATCCAGCCAAAGAAAAGCACTACTAGGTCTACCTGGTACCTATGAAAGAAAAAAGAATGCATGGAAAATGTAGGTTGTGCTAACAGGATTTTGTATTTAGTTTTCAGTGGCCTGTTGAATTTTATGTATATAGTCCTGAAGATGTGTAGGTTGCAATCCTGTATGCATTCATCCTGAAGTAAATTCCTCTGAACTTAACAGGAATTATTTTTATTTATTTTACACACTACTGATCTTGTACAAACCGCTGAAAACTTTTTGAATGATAGTTTAGTCCTGGTTCATAAAGGACAACTCTTTGCTAGTCTGTTATCATCCATACATGCTAACTCCAAATGTCCTTTAAATCCTTGTATACTGGACTGTTTGACTTTTGTGACTGCCCATGAGTTATCACGACTCTTCATCATTTAGGCCAGGCATGTCCAAAGTCCGGCCCGGGGGCCAATTGTGGCCCATTTTCAAATTTCGAGCGGCCCGCAGCCTCTTCTCCCCGCCGGCTCAACCTGTCACTCATCCCCGCTGGCCGGCATTTTTCCCTTCACCGCACAGCGGTTCCCACAGCTGTCCTCTGCTGCCTCCTGCTCCCTCAAGGCTGGTGGTTATATTTCACCAGAAGATGGCAGTAGACCTGAGTCAGCACTCTCATCGCATGACCCTTGTGACACAAGGCTTGTGTGCCCATTTCTAAAATGGCGACTGTACCTAAAAAAAGGAAAGTTGACAGCGAGGGCCGCCACTTCCAGGACAAGTGGAAATTGGAGTATTTTTTCACTGAAATACGAAACAACTGTGTCTGCCTAATTTGCCAAGAGACTGTGACTGTTTTCAAGGAATTCACTATCAAGAGGCACTACCAGACGAAACATGCTAACTACAACAAGCTAACTGGGAACGAACGCGGTGAAAAATTGAAGGAACTGGAAGCTGCTTTAACGGCACAGCAGCGCTTTTTCACAAGAGCCTGTGAGTCAAATGAAAATGCCATACAAGGTTGCAACGCTGATTGCCATGCACTGCAAACCTTTTACTGAGGGTGAATTTATTAAAGACTGCGTGATGAAAATGGTGGAGAAAATTTGTCCGGAGAAGAAGCAAGAGTTTGCCAATGTTTGCCTGGCTCGTAACACTGTGGTACAGAGAATTGAAGACGTTTCATCTGATATTAAGAGACAGAGGAAAAAGGAGTAGAGTTTGACTTTTTTTCGTTAGCCTGCGACGAAAGCACGGATGCATCTGACACTGCTCAGTTATTGATTTTTTTGAGAGGAGTGGACAATGACATGAACGTGAGTGAAGAGCTACTTGACCTCCAGAGCCTTAAGGACCAAGCAAGAGGAACAGATTTGTTTCTGTTTGTTCCGCCGTAGATGACATGAAACTACCATGGAATAAAGTCACTGGGATTATTACGGATGGCGCACCTGCCATGGCTGGCGAGCGAAGTGGATTATCAACCCTAGTCTGTAACAAAGTCAGCGAAGAAGGAGGCAAAGCTATAAAACTCCACTGTATTATTCACCAATAAGTTCTCTGTGCCAAACATCTGAAATATGATCATGTTATGAAACCGGTGATGAATTATATTCGCTCCAAAGCCCTGTGCCACCACCAGTTTCAACAGTTTTTACTCGACATCCAGGCTGAATATGGAGATGTTGTGTATCACAACAAGGTAAGATGGTTCAGTCGGGGGTCTGCACTGCAGCGCTTCTACTCTCTTAGGGAGGAAATCGGACAATTCTTGGCAAAAAATGGACAACCGATGCCAGAGCTATCTGATCCTGTTTGACTGGCTGATTTTGGATTTTTAGTTGACATAACACGACATCTGAACGTGCTGAACACGAGCCTTCAGGGGCAAAATGCAGTGGTAAGCCAACCGTATTCACATATCAAAGCCTTTGGGACCAAGCTGCTACTTTTCCAAAGGTACCTGTCACAAACGCAGCCCAATACCACACATTTCCCATCGCTGCAGGAAATAATGACCAGTTTTCCACAGAACAATATGAGTGCACAAATAAGGAGGTATGGAGCAGACATCTCATCTCTGGCTGAGGAGTTTCAACAGCGCTTTCGGGATTTTGCAGCTATTGAAAAGGAGATCATGCTTTTTTCAGCTCCTTTCTCTGTGGACCCTGATGACGCTCCAGACCACCTGCAGCTGGAGCTCATCGAGCTGCAGTGTGACGCCGAGTGTCGCAGTCGGCACCAACAGCTCCTTCTTGTCAACTTTTACTGCCAGCTGGATAAAGACAGGTTCCAAGAGATTCGAACATTTGCTAAGAAAATGCTGAGCTTGTTTGGTTCAACATACTTGTGTGAGAAGACATCCTCGGTTATGAACATTAACAAGAACCGCGTGAGGATGAGACTAAGTGACTTTCACCTGCGTGACATCTTGCACATCAAAACCACTGTTTTTGAGCCAGACCTGGCCTATATAATGCAGTCGAGATCTCAGTATTAGTGAGTGCAGTGCACATTAGTGCAGTTATTTGTTTAGTCTTTCATAAAATAGTTCATTTGCATTTAATGTTAATGGTTCAAAGAATGTCAGGCTGAATGGTCGGCCCCCACACATTTTCACCTCACCAAATCTGGCCCTCCTTGCAAAAAGTTTGGACACCCCTGATTTAGGCCTATTGCCTTGTACGATTTCTGAAAAGTGACCTTGTATTCTTAAAAAGGATACACGTGAAGGAAGAAGCACAAATGGCTCCCACTATCAAAATACTTGCATTTACTGGTCACACCTTGAAACAAGAGGGCAGAATCTTGCTGTGACTTCATTTGCCACAAAAGCCTTCAGAAAGTCTCAGCCTAAGACTTATGTCAAAAATTTCCACAAACTTCATAGTTCATGAAGTGGTAAAGCAGAACCATACACAAAACAACTAGATGTCTCTGTCATAATTTCTGCAAAATCTGTTCTAAGATCTAGTGAGTCTATTCGGTTTGGGTCTCAGTCTGGTGCTTCTCAGTATGTGTCTATGTGCTGTGAAAGTTTGAGTGGCAGATGGGCACTGGGCTTCCAATTGTTCCCTTTCATAGATTTCATTTCCAAACTACTATTGCTCTGTTATTGGTTCCCACACAGAGACACTTCAGCTATAGATCAGAGATTCTTCTGATGAATGCTTCGCATTTATAGTTTCAACACAATTATATGTTGCAACACATATTTAAAATTTGAAAATAAAAAGAATGAATCAAAACTGATATCTTGTTTAATGAAAATGCTTATTTTCATTTTTGCTATTAAAAGAATGCCAAAGGAGGATTTATTGGAACTGCAATAGGACACCTTTTATAGCTTCCATGTATGCAAGCACGTTTCTTGCCTGGGAACCTGTGCCTTTTTCATACAAGTTGATCAAAGAACTTCCCTTGTACATGAATCACTACCCTGTACATGAACCACCTATTCTCCTGAAATTTTGCAGTTTTCTAGGCCACTGGTGATTTTCAGAGCAATGACCCTCAAAAGACATGGGAGGTTAATGATATACTCTTTTGAACACTCTCAAAATGTTAAGTCTGCTCATTATTTTATTGCTGTAAAGTTTGACAGGTCTTGATCCCCACCAAATGTATAACTATCTTGCAATTTTCTTCCACTCCTGTCAAGAAATTAAAATATTATCAGCATGAATGCAGAGAGGGGAGAAATAACACAATCCCTTCTGCAACTCTTTTTCTGACATTGGCACATCTAACTCCTTCCTAAGCAGCGATTACACCTACAAATATCATTCAATCTGACCAAGAAGGGAAACTTACAAGCATTTTTGTAAAAATAACAAAAAGTACAACTAATTTTTACTTCCTAGGATTGTCAGTGGGAAGCATCAAACCTGGTTCAGAAAGCCACCTAGAACCCATGGGTTGTTGTACAGTTGTGGGTGGTTTGTTAATGACAGCAATGATCTGGCCTTAATAGGTATGGCCATCACAATAAAACAAGGCAACTGATTGCCTCAGCCTGAATATTCAAAACTTCTGCTGGCAAAGGGAATCACAACCCACCATGGCTTAAATAAGTCTTTGGCGGACTGTGATCATGGGAACCAGGCCAATGAGGAAACTGCCTAGAGAAAAGCTTTCTCTTAACCCAATGACAGAGTTATTCTGAGGATAAATGAATCCCATTTGGACTGCATGGAGGAAGAGCATGCTGTACCAGTGAATAGCAATTATTTTGGGGGTGAGTATGATATAAATAAAGGACTGCAGGTGGCGCAGTGGTTTAAACCGCTGTGCTGCTGGGCTGGTAGATCGAAAGGTCGCCAGTTCGAATGTGCACAACGGGGTGAATTCCCGTTGCTCCGTCCCAGTTCCTGCCAACCTTGTAGTTCGAAAGCATGCAAAAAATGCAAGTAGATAAAAAGGTACCACTTCGGTGGGCAGGTAACAGCATTCCATGCACTTCGGTGTTTAGTCATGCTGGCCACACAACCACTGAGATAGACAAACGCTGGCTCCCTCGGCTAGGAAACGGAGATGAGCACCACCCCCTAGAGTCAGGCATGACTGGACGTAATGTCAAAGGGAAACCTTTACCTTTACCTTTATGATATAAACAAACCTGTATACATGCATATTCTGATTTAAGTCCAATAAGGTTCTATAGGTCTTGATTCCTGGAAGTATATTTGTTTCCTGGAGGGATTTCTGCTTTAGTAGCATGTTCTGTTTGGCAGGCCAATGATTCCATGGCCTGGTGCAGTACACATGGAGCTTGAACCCCAAAACTCTACAGTCACAGTCTGAGATCTTATAGTGTTCATTTGTTCAGTCAGATGTTTAAAAAATTCACAGAAAAAGTTTACTCAGTCAGTCTGTCAGTAAAGGAATACAATTAAAACTGGCACTATCATATTGCCCTTAGTACAGATCTGTGATACTACCATGTTTGTGTGAAATTCTGTTTACTATACCTAAAAAGAATATTATAGAATTGGAAAAAGTGAACAAAATGGGCAACTGAAATGTGGGATAGGACTAACTGTGAGTAAAGGTTTCCCTGGGCCTATTTAGCTTATAAAATGGGTGAGTGAGGGCAGACAAAATCATAGCTACAGAATTACACATGTACAAAATCATATGTACAAGGTATACAGAATTATACATTTGTGTACATAATTATTCAAGTTGTACAAAATTATGCATAGTGTAGAGAACGTGGATAGGGGGAAATGTTTCTCTTTCTCACATGGTCCTAGAACTTTGTATCATTCCATGAAGTTGATTGGTTGGAAATACAGAACAGATATAAAGAAAAATACTACTTCTTCACACTGCATAAGTTTAAAAATTCATTTCATCAACAGGATAACTTTAAATGAGAATGAGACAGAAGGTCAATCTAACAATGGGTATCAGTCAAAGTAGTTACATGTTGCTTTCCGTGTCAGTCACAGCATACCTCTATTCACCAAGTGCTGGGTATCATGAACAGAAAGGTGCTATGTCCTACTTGGGGGTTTTCTACAGACAGCTGGTGGCCACAGTGTGAATCAAATGCTGGATTGGCTGGCCTATTCGTCTGTGACAACATAGTTCTTATATTCTTACCCTATATGCTTCCTGACTAATGATTATGGCACTTCTCTGCAAGTACGCAGAACCACCATATTACCATACGAAATATATCAGAAGGAATAGTAAACCCATCAGAAAGCTAAGAAAGCCAAAAGAGACAGAAATGATCTGAGTAGGATCTTTTTAACTTCAGCAAGCAAATTATTGCATTAAGACCTTACCCTGTAACGAAAAATAACATCAGAATCTGGCAATTTGATACCAAGGCCTATCCTACTTTTGTCACTCCTAACTTCTTTATCTTCCATTATTTCTACATCAAAATAACTCAACAAAAAAAACAAAAATATTTTAATTTCATTAACTGCGAAGAACCTGCCTGGACATATGTTACTTCCAAAGCCAAAAGGCATTAAAAAATATTTCAGCTTCCTTCCCTGCTTGTAGAAGGATGTTCTCCTCTTGCCATCTTCTACATAACGGTCAAATTTATAATTCTGAAAGAAAAACAACATGGAAATGAATATTGTAGCTATAAGGAGAACAAAATGGATCTAAGAATCAGTTGCTTTCAGAAGCCAGGACTACATCTGTGTCTTAAGAATTATGAAAAGGTAATGGGGACATTTATTGCAAAACTTAACTTAGATTGTGTATCTTACTTTGCAAACAAATCTTCTTGCTGAATTATATTTTCCCAGCATCTTAGACCCAATTCCCCAGGTTTTCCCCCCCAGATCACATTCAACACAGTTGGTTTCTCACAGGATTTGTGTCTACTGATGTTGAGTTCCATGTGCATATGCAGCAGATAACATACCATGTCATGTTCAATCTCTTCTCCAATGTAATCCTATGCATATTTATGCAAAAGTAAGTTGATTAGCTTTAATGAAAGTAAGTGTGATGTAGCGATTAAAGAATTGAAGTAGGACTGAAGATCCAGGCTGGAGTCCCTACATGGGTGACTTTACGCCACTCACTGACTTTGAACCTAATCAACCATGCAGGGTTGTTGTAAAGATAGAAAAAAGACAAAGGTAATGTAATTGCCTTGGGCTCCTTGGAGGAAAAGGCAAGGTATAAATAATTGTAGCCCATACATTTTAGATTACTTCACTCCATACACTGTAATCAAATGATTGAACAAAAGGCTATATGCGATCCTTTCTAAATCTATAAAACTTCTCCACTAATTATACTTTGTGTGCTTTATCCAAACATGACTGACAGCTTCTACATCTTCAGTGAACGAGGGTATAACCTTATGTATGTTTAGACAGACAGAAGGCCTACAATTCTCAACATGCCCCTGCCAGCCATACCAGCTGGGGCATCATGGGGTTGTAGACCTATCTGTCTAAACATGCATAGGATTGTGCATTCAATACTTATTCACTGAGGCCCTAATGTGTATGCAAAGAAAGCAGGGGCAAAATCATACTTAGGGACTATCAGAACAGGAAGGTGTATGTGGACTTCTGCAGATCCTTATTGCCATTTGTCAGCTTGTGTGAAAATGAAGCGGTACAGAAATGGTCTTAAAAATAGCTGTTCATACTGAAAACTTCAATGCATTATAGTTTAAATAGCACCCTTCCTGAACCTTGTGTCTTGCAGATATACTGGACTACAGCTTCCATCATTTCCAACCAGCAATTGCCAGGTTGACTGGAAATGATAGAAGTTGCAGTCTAATACATCTGGAATGTACAAGGTTGAAGCCGGCTGTTGCATTCAAGTCCTAACCTCCATTTGTCCTGTTTTCAGGAAACTTATTGGACACAAGTCACAGTCTATAGTTCTACAGTCCAAATTCTGAAAGTGCTTAAACACAAAGAGTAATACAAACTGCAGGGATTCTACAAATTATATTTGCAAAGCCCAATTAACATTAGCAAAAATGACAATATGCTCCATAGACACAAGGTGGTTTACCAGAATTATATTTGCCTATTTTTTAATATAAACAAGGTATAATCATTCAGACGTTGTGGAAATCCAGACATTTTCCTTCAAGGAACAGTTGCTGTCGTGGGGAAAACCTTAATTCCCATGGCAATACATACAGTATTTCTAATACTTGAAAAATGCAGTTTACCTTCTGTTTGCCTGTAGTTGTATGAGCTGCATGGGCTTATATTCATGCATGCATGCAACACACGCGCACACACACACACACAACTAATTTAGCCCTTAAGAAACCATTTTTAAAAAATGATGTACCACTGGTGAAGGGAAAAATGAAGCAAAACTACCTGCTTTACTCATAGGAGTGTACCTGCTCTTATAGGAATTTTTATTTCTTCCCTCCTTGCCTCTGTGCTCTTGCTCTCCTTTACCACTGAGCCCCTTCTACCTTCTTTGTCTAAGTTTCACCTTCCTACTTTCTGAACTTGACAATGTTCCACAGAAGCTTCAATTCTCCAGCCCAATCAGTCCTGTGGGATGGGAGGACTGGACAGAGTACTATTCATTAGGGATACGTGGGAGAATTCAGAACATGCTGTATATGCATGACAACAACTGGAAACTATCCTGGACACTCTAAGCACTATACCACAGTGGTTTGGCCCCTGTGTGAACAGTCTGATGTATTAAGTGGACCACCAGTCTGATCCAGCATGTCTCTTATGTTCTTAAATTATGCACTCAACTGTCAAGCTTTAGTCCCACTCTGATACCTATTGGCTGTAGGAAATGGAGGAAACGGAGGACATTGGTCTGAGACTAGCCTGAGACAAATCAATTGTATGAAGACAGGCAGCTTCTGCAGAGCCTTTTCTTCAGAGCCTGAGTCTGGAAAGGGAGAATTATATCTGGATTAAAAAGGGTAGAACGCTTCCATACTGGGCACTGCTCTGTAAGTGTTGAATCTGTCCTCATTCCAGGATTAATAGTGGCCATTGCATTCATTCATAGTTGGCTGTATCTGTTCTGTACAACTTTTAGGTTAATGTGTCTAATAAATCTGATAAGGAATCTTGAGAATAGATGGATATCATGGCAAGCTACCTGGCTTCAATAAAGAGGCCATTAAAACAAAGAAGAAATGCGTTTTCACTTTTTGCCATCTTTGTCTTCATGATGAGGATGTGATTTCAGTGTTTTTATTGCACCGTGTATTATTTTAATCATACTTGTTCATTACCCTGCTATCCATAGGGAAGAAGCACAGTTTTAAAATGGCTTGGTGACATATATCTATGGATGTATCAACTTTTTCACATATGATATATCTGCACCTTTATACACCAGTGTAGATGAACTGGATAGTTTCAACCCAGACAAGGTTTCCAGATATTTGCACAAGTGTTTAAAAGATGCAGATACAGCATTCCCATCTCACATGCATAAACCACCAGTTTAACACTGATGCACTCACAGTAATCATGATTGCCACATAAAGTGCACATTAAGTGAACATGCCAATAGTAGTTAATTCCCAAAAGCTGGTATGAAGCAGAATGTTGGGATGCTGGAACTATCTGCGATCTCTCTTCTTATTAAAAGATGTGTTCTGTTTTTTTCTCATAATGCCTAAATATAACCATGCATGATATTTTGCACTATTGTTTGAAGCCAAAAAATCAAGATGTTGAAACTGGCTTTGTATAATAGAAACATAGAAACAAAGCGAGTCAGAAGGGGCCTCTGGTCTGACCCCCAGCTCCAGCCGGCTCCACTCATGACATGCCCACCATGTGCATGTCCAGCCTGTCCTTGAACATCCTCACCGATGGGGCCTCAACCACCTCCCTGGAAGCCCATTCCACACTCTCGGGGTCCTAACTGCCAGGAAGTGCTTCCTAGCATCTAAATGGAAGAATGTCTGTGCTCCAATGAAAGGATCCAACTGTAGGTAAGCAAATTTTGGCATCAGCAGATGTGAGAGTGACGTCCTTATAAGTGTTGTTGAGACCACCAAGTGTTATGAATTGGTGCAGAAGTGCTGCTTTCATATGCCATACATGATGTGGTTGCAGATCAAGCCTTGAAGTCTCACGGGGCTACATTATGGGCTGATATGATCATACAGTATTCTGTTCCTAAAACATCTTATCTGCCTCTTCCTTAGTTCAAACTGGTTTTTTTTAAGCCTTGCAGTTGTGAGCTTATTGAGGCCAGGTTATCAAAGAATCCCTTTTCTCACATAGGCCTTCCTACTCATCTTTGATACCCAGCCTCAGACTACCCATCTATCCTGCCTCAGACTACGTGTCTACTGAGATTAGACAGGTGGCTAGTGGAAAGAACTTCTTCATAGTGCTGTTCAAAATGTGAAACTTGGTTTTTATAAGTGTTCACCTAGTGCTGCCACATACCACTATAGGCCTTTAGATACCATGAAAATCCTTTTTGAGTTTTAGCTAGTTCTGATTTTATCCTTGCAGTTTTGTTGTTGCTTTGGAGGGTTTTTTTTAACTGTATTGTATTTATTGATTGTTGTAAGTTGTGTTGGGGCATTTACCCTCAAAGGCTGCTTTAGTCTGATGTAATGCACTCTATGTAGGGATACCCTGGAATAGTGTCCAGAAGCTTCAACTGGTGCAAATTATTAGGCTGCTAACCAGTGCATGGTTCTAGGATCATATTACACTTGTACTGAGAGATCACAGCTCATTGCCAATTGCTTTCTTGACTCAAATTCTAGGTGTAGTTGTTGCTTTTAATCTTTAAAACCCTTAACAGATTAAGATCTGACTATGTAAGGGACCATCTGTCCTACTATGAACCTGACTGGGTATTAAGATTTTAAGCAGGGACCCTTTTGTGGGCACAGTTATGTACAGTCGTCTATTTGTTAGGCATGCACGAAATGACTTTTTTTGTGTATGTTTTCTCCAAAGTATAAAATGTGCTCTCAAGGAGCTCCTCTTAAAGGGGGTATGAAGATCCAGATTTTCAATTTAGCCTTCTAAAATACATAGTTTTAATATTTTACTGTTTTAATGCTCTTACTTGTATGGCTTTAATATTTTATTCTTTCAATGACTGTACACAACTTCAATGGTTTTTTAGCAGATAAGATGCTATATAAATATTAATCATATATCAATTAATTAAATAAATACCGTATGGGAGTAGAAGGAGCAGTATACATGGCCAGATGTGGGCAGACATGGTATGGTAAGCACAGAACAGAAGTTGCAGTGATGTGTTATATGGTTATTTGGAGCTATTCTGGATGGAATGGGGTTAACATACCAGTCACCTGCATACAATTACATCTGCTTAATGTCTATGTATTTACAGGATTCTTCTACAACCTGGTGCTCTCCAGATGTCTTGGATGTACTGCTCATCTGGCTGGGGCAGATCTAGTGGGAAGTTGTAGTCCAATACATCTGGAAGGCATCAGATTAGGGATGGCTACTATACAGTGTATGCAGTGAGAAGGAAAACTGTCCCCATCACTTCATCGTTTCGATGGGAACCCAATGCAACTTATTTTAACTTGTAAACCATCCAGAAAGTGCTACGGGTTACGGGGCAGTATACAAATGTAACAAACAAACAAACAACCATTTAAACCCACTGACATACATGAGAGAGATAATATAGCTTATCTCCTACTAGCCTGTTGATAATTTAGGGTGCCCTAGTTTAGTTACCATTTCTGTCAGTGGTGAGTTATGCCACAGAGTGAGGCAGGTGGGTAGTGTTGGCTATGGCATGCATAATCGTGGAAAGTCCCTATGGACTTTTGCCTGGTTCCAACTTTCTTATCTTGTAGGCGTTTGGCAAAAAAACAGTGAAATATTTGAAATATATCGACTTCTTAAGAATAACTTTTAATTGTGTTTTTAATCTGCCACAGTTTTTTCTCGTATGCTTTATAATTATGGTTTTATTTGACTTTGAGGTTGACAGCTTTGTAAACCTCTTAGAATTATCTGGACACATGACAATTTAGCAATGCATTAAGTGAGCATGAGGGTAGCCAAATGAGGGAAGCAGAGTGCTTTATCTCTTATGTCATTTTCTAAAAATACTAAAATAATGATTTTCCAATGAAAGAGAGTGGGACCCAGCAAACACCTCCCATGGACAGAAGGGCTCCTTCCTTCATTAGGAGGCACATGATCCATCACAGATTCTCCACTGGCTGCAAAGGAGATGATCTTCACCAATTCTCCCTCTCCTGTATATTCCACTTCCCAAAATCTACTCCTGAGAGTTATAGAACCTCCTGGAACAGTGAAGGAGGTGGCTTTGGGAGCGCCAGAGAGAAGAAGGATCAGTAAAGCTTGTCTTGCCTCCCTGCCCTTTGCAATTGGAAGCATCTCAGGGAATTTCACTTGGGGGTGTTCCTACCAGCAGATTAAAACATTGGATCCAGTCCAGTATTAGCATGATTTTCTGGAACTGTCTGTGGTTCAAAACAAGCTGAAACACAGAGTATATGCATTATCAAGAAATTACACACATATGTATATATGGGCATATGCAAAGCCATGTCAGTGATTTTATGACTCTCTTTCTTAGAAATGTTTTTTTTTCCTCTGTGGTTTCAGCCCCCTCCCCAACCAGCAACAAAATATATCACTAAAATCTAGGGAACACGCCAATTCAATTTGCATGCAGGTGCTGAACTTCTGGAGCAGTATTAAGGCTGAGCAACCTGGATTAATTTTCAACCTTTGATATTCATTAACTTTTGCTTCAGAAAGGAGTGGTTGGGGGAGCAATACAAGAAGATGACACAATTACCCTTAAAACTTCACTGCAGAGCAACAGCTTTACAATCTTGAGTTCACAACGCCATACTAATTGGCCACAAAAGGGCCAATTCCTATAAAGGGAGGTGAAAAAGCATACGGTTGGAGAAGACACCGCTATTAGAGGGGCTTTAGAGAGTCAATGAAGCTTTGGGGGCACTTAGCTAAATGACCCACATTATTTGCTCTTTAAACCACCTTCTATTATTCAGCCTTCTTTGGGCAACCAATGATCCACTGCCAAACAAAGCCCACATTTTGCTTCAAGTTTATGGTAGTCAATGCACAATTGTCAGTTCTTCTCAAAGGGGGTAGCAGTCAGCCTCATCACCATATTTCTCTCTTTAGCCCATGAAGCCATTGACCTGTAGGCACCTTGAAATAATCTGAAAGTCAGAGTATTTGTTCCACAAGAAGGAACACCCCCCCCCCCACCACTACACACACACACACTGGAAAAAAAATTCTATACATTGCAGAGTGCCTGGACACTGAAAAGCGCCTGAAGTGGTATGTGTAATACCAGCTGAATGTTTACCTTAGGATCTTCATAAACCTCGGGGTCCATGTGCACCGTTGCAGGAAAAAGTGCTATCCAGTCTCCTTTTCGCAAACTGATTTCCAGATTCCCTTCCAGCTTGAGCATGAAATCTTTCTTGATGCTGCGAACACTCAGGGAAGATGAGCACAGTCGTAAACTCTCATTTACAGCACTTTCTGAATTTAAATAAAGAGCAGAGGGGGAAGGAGAAGAAAATAAGGACCCTAAAGCATAAAAAATATGGAAGTTGACTGAAAGTGATAAACTGCTACAGCTGCCAGAAATCTACAGGTTTACTGGAGGAAGCTAACAAAGGAAACTGGATTGGGGTGCTCAAAAGAGGAAATAAACTTTCTTGGAGGGCTAGAAGACACTTTGCTATTCTCAGCTTTTAAATGTAATTCTTACTGATGGATTCAATTAATTTTCTTAAGCTCTAGGCACTGCAGTGTTTTGGGTGGAAGAACCATTATTTGGGCATCATATTGAAAAACAGCACAATCAAAAGGGAAGGATGCTTTTATGCATTTTACACACTTTGCTAGGATTGCAATGAAATGCCAGTAATAACATTGACACTCTGTCCAACCTGCTTTTCAAGACACTGGTGCCTGCCTTCCGTTGTGCATTACAAATCCATCCACTCAAATAACTGTGCAGCCTATTGCAAGGTAAGGGTATTAAGAACCAAGCAACCCTTTGCTATATCATCCTATCATAATTTCTACTGTTGGCTGAGCAAATTCAAATTATGTGTGGTGCTTTGATGAGTTAATGGGGGGGAAACCCATACACTGTGTCATATTTTGACACAAATCCCAAACCTTTTTCAGAAGCCCACCATAACTTGGAAGGCTCTAGAAGGCAAATGTCCCTGCTCTCCCAGTGGCCTTCACCTCTTGCTCTTAGCATGACAGATTTTATGGCCAATTTCCGGCAATTTATCCTGGCAGTATGAGGGGGAATTCCATTGGGAATAATATGCATAATTTGCATAAATCATTCTGATAGCATGCATACCAGCATGTAGCTCCTGTCTGGGGCTGCATCTCTCATTTTGTAATCAAAACTGACTATTTTTCCACCAGCATGACTGGGCACTGTAATAGGTGGCATGACTTCTTTGAGTCATCACTGTGAAAATGTAGCCTAAAAATGAAATGCGATACACAAAACCCCAAACCAGAACTTCCTTCTCATGGAAGAACAAAGAGATGGTGGCTTTCATGTTTTTGGAATATATAACAGATCTCCTGCTAGTGAGCTGTGCAGCTCTGTGGCCCTCCCATCAAACCCAAAGAGAGGTAGCTACAAACCCAGTGCAGAAACCTCCGAACAAGATAATAACAAATGTTCTTTCACTAAAAATTAAATCTGTTGCTGCATGCATAGCAAATAAAGTGGCCTTGGATGCTTTCTCGCAGGAGTTCTTTCCTTAAGCGTGCATTTGTCTAAAGAGATGAGGCTGCGGTCAGCTCTGTGTGGCCAGTGCTGTGATTCAATGTGACGTATAGTGAGGCTGTGCATATTCTTTTGGACTGCCTTCGTTACTATAATCAGGAAGAGTCAAATCGGCTTGTTGGTGACGAAGCCAGAAAAAACTCTGGTTCCAGAACATGGCCTCTACTGTGGATAGCCACAAGGCACCTGACACGATAGATTTCAACTGGCAGCATTCTGGCAACAAAAAATTTTATGAAATACAAAGGAATGGTCCAGAATCCACTCTTGTAGGCTGTCTCTAGCCTAGGCAAGATGAAGCTGATAACACACCATTTTAGCCTGCCGTGTGGAAATGGTAGCTGACATATGTAACACCACGGTGCACTGAAGGGACCAAATGGGTGCGTGTGCGTTGGGAGGGGAGAGTGAAGAAAATGCAGCAACAGCAAGAAAAATGGTTGGGGACATACTGCGGCCAAAATAGCAGGTTTCCATGGAACTGCACGAGTCACACAGTCACATCAGATTGGCTAATATTTTCCTTGGAAGCATGGCAGTCTCCTGCCCACTGTGGTATTGCAGTGACAACTGGGCAAGCATATCTCATGAGGGAGTTAATCACAATAATGGAGCTCAAAGTGTGGCTTAGTGGTTAGATCATAAATGACAAATCTGTTTTACCCTCCTGCACCAGTTATGTGGGGGGAGCTGAGCTTAGCTCTTGCTCTGAGCAATCAGCAGATAATCCTTAGATGACAAAAGTAATGAGTCACATTATGATCAGCAAAGGAGGATGGGACTTGTATGGGTCTGTGGCAGTCTACCATTAAAATAAACAAGCAGAAAAGACCCTCATTCCTGCCCAATAGTCTCTGCAGAAATGCTGGAATTCTGTGCTGAGAAGACTGACAACTGGATGATAAAACTGCTGTCCGTGCTTGCTGTTGTCATAGTTCAGTAGACACAAGCCAGTGTTCCTGTCAGACCAGCTGGGTAGCTTGGGAGGCCTTCCATTCTGCACCATGAGGTACAGTAAATTATCCAGCACGGTAAAGCAACATCTGTTTCTGTGCTAGTGCCGAACAAACAAGGCAATTTAAAGCATACCAAGGGATAACCAAGCAGCAAATGAACATGACCCTCATTTTTCCTCCCTTTCCCCCCACCACACACAAGTAGCTGAAATTTTACAGAATAAAGAGGGGTTGTCAGAAAAGTTGACACATTTTCTATGCACACAGAGACAGCAGACTTCCCATAGTATTGTTATTTTTAGAATAATCCCACACCTCTTTTCTCTTACATACTCTACTTTCAATTCACCCTAGATCTTTTTTTAAAAGTCGAAGCCGTTTCAATATACTTATAAATATTCAGTCCTTAAACCTAATTTGCTATACTTAGTTCACATGCCTTCAAGCATTTGTCTTCCAATTTCCACTGAATAAATGCGTACTAATGAGAAATAGAGCAAGCTGCTGAGGCAAAGCTGGGCGACTTGAGCCTGGCCTGCCACCAGCTTGTGATAGGCAGGCAAATTGAGTTAAAATGAAAAGTCTTGTCAGCTGAAATACAACACGGTAGCCAAACAGCAAGCTGTCAATCATCCAGCCAAAACAAGGGACTGCAGGTAATAAAAGGTCATTGTGAATCATTAGTGCATTTGGCTTTCATAAGCAAGTTAATTTTAATTAAACATGATCCCGATCTGTAACTGTTTAATAAGAAAACTTACTGCACTTAATGAATTGTTAATTTTATACTAAGCATTTAGCACGAAATAGGACCTTATATGGATCAAGAGGACATGAAAGAAAAATAGTGGCTGAATATGCAAATATCTGGGATATCTTTTGATCTAGCCAAGCTTATGTGACTATATAAATAAGCACCTGGTTCACCTGATCGAAAAAGCCCACTGTGGCTTATTTAAGCCATGGTGGACTGAGACACAAGCTGGGTGGCTTTTGAATACTGTTGTTTGCTACGATGGACAAAGCTCAGAAATGTGGGCTATTTCAAGGTCAAACAACCAATTCCCTGTGCTGGCTTATGTAACCCTAATTCAGTACCACAAATATAGCTGAATATAGTTTTTAAAGACCGAAGTACTAAAAGTTGTGAATCAAGATGAAAAAATGTCAGGTTTGGTTTCTCTCACCTGTGGATTTTTAGTAAGCTATTTCCATTTCAAATATGAAGAAATTTGTGAAATCTGGTAAATTATTATAAATAACTGCTGAACTGAAATTCTCATCCATCGCTAGAATTTGAAGTAATATTTTCTTAGTGTTGGTATTTTCAATTCTGTGATAAACCTGGCTTCCATCAGCTCCTTACTAACATTGAGCCAGCACCCAAAAAAGATTTGTGTTTTGCTTCAATAATGTATATTCTCCATCCTAAGATATAATCTTGCATTTCATAAGACATTTAAAAGTACCTAGTCAATACATGAACATTGTACTTTTGGACTACTGGATCCTGCAGTTCAATGACCATTGTTATCCACAGATTTTTAAGAATATGGAGGGACAGAATGAGTCTTGGCTAGACAAGGAACTTGCATAGTTGTAACCATCTGAGTGGGATGGTATAAATTAGTGTCCTGCAACAGTAGGGGTTGAACCCAATGTCCTTATAGCCCATTCTATTCTATGATTCTATGAAACAGGAAAATGTATCACTTTCCCCTGTTATAACATGGAAAACTGGAATTAGGAAAGCTTATTTTTGAATCTTTGGATGAAATCTTTTAAGGTGTATACAGAAAGTCCTGAGAAATAGAAACACTGATTTAGACTGCTGTATATCACTTTGTAACAAGCCTTTTCTGCATTGAACGTACACCAGGTTGGAGAATGCTAGAACAGGCAACAGACAACAGATAGAGTCAAATTGGTATAAGGCAGTTTCTTATGTTCATATGTCTTCTGCAAAGCAGAATCCTCTTTTCAAGGCAAAAATGGGCATGACTTTAAATTCATCTCTAGCAAAATGTTTTTTTTTTATTTTTTTTTTTTAAAAAGTAAGGATGTGCAATATGGATTAGAAAAAGGGTAAAGGAGGGCTTTTAAGATCCAGGTGGGGCTCTCTGTACCTACTCTAGAGTGAAAAAGAAATAAAAACAGAACTCTATAGATTTATGTAATGTCAGTTTAGGCTTGTCCTCCAAAAATCAACCCCTATTATGATTTATGGACTCTTCAGATAAACTATATTGGAATTATATGTTTGAAACATCACATGTGCTTTGTTATATTCTTTTAGTGAAATATATTTGTTTGATTCCAAATGTTTTTGAATATGAAGTGAGCACATGACAAACTCTGATGACATTGGTTAGAAATGCAATAAGCAGTAAGAGCAGATCAGTCAAAGATACAAATCATGTAACTGAAGAAGAGTTTTCTATAGTCTGGTCTCCTAGTTACCCTCACACATTTACTATCTTCATCTCTTAAGAACAAAAATGCACCAGTCTCACTTTATCCTAATTAGGCTCACTCTTTGGAGTAGCATAGATAAAATCAGGACTCTTAGGGTTCTGCCTGCTCTTTTCAATTAACAGGGGACGCTGAAATTATGTACCACACCTCAGAATTTTCTGTTCCCATCAGAATTTTCTGTTTAGCTGCAACCTTGCAATTTTCTCAGAAACAACATAAATGTTGTAATGCAAAATAATTTGGGGTGGCCTGATCTTGGATGAGAAATTAAGACCCATTAGTTTTACAGAAGATCTAATCCTGAAGTGAAATTAAAACTGCTACAACTATATTATTGATATGAATCAACACATCTGTCTAAATGTTCAGACACTCCTTGGAAGTTTGGCAATGTCACTCTTGAGTGCCTACATTTAAAAATTTACCACATACCACGGCTTTACTGCCTTTACCAGAAGGTTTACTGTATACCAAGAATAGCAAAGGTACAGTCCACCCAAGGACAGAGATGATGAAGGATGAGACATTTGGATCACAGTCATTCATAAAGTCACCATAAGTCAGAGACAATTTTATGTCATGTAATAAGAGCTACAACAGAGACGATGGTAGCTATAGGTCAGTATCTTTCCCCACTCTGCTATAGATCTATAAACATGTGTGCAAAGCAATTAACTTCTTTTTATAAAATGTGTATCAGCTCTTGGTAACAGGAGCTCTCAAGCATACAAAGCAGCCAGTGGGAACATGAAAGTTTTGTACCTCTGCCATGATGCTGAACAGGGTCATATACCTGCAGCCAATGTGTTATCAGCATCAGGCCACCACTATGAACACATCTTTGCTCCACAGAGATGGGAACTCGGTATTACTTCCTATCCCTGTAGGGTAAACCTATGGACATTGAAATAGCCCATATCTTCTAACAACAGTCTATAATATGTCCCTGACATTAATTTCTGGACCAAAGTACGACAGAATATTCAATTTAGCACCAGATTTTCAAAAGTGATAGAGTGAAAAAACCAGGAAATGACAGACTAGTTAGCTTAGCATCTTTTCAGGGTAAATTAGTTGAAAGCACTGCTAAAAGGACGGCATACAAATATCTTAAATAAATAAATAAAATTAGTAAGCGTACAGAAGGACAAGCCCTGCTGATAGGCTTCTAGAAAGGTAAGTCCTGTATCAATTATCTTTTAGAGTTCTTTGAGAGGGTCAATACACACATAAACAGAGATGAATGAGTTCACAGTCATTGTTTACTTGAGCTTCCAAAATACGTTTTATGAAGTCCCTTACCAATGACTGCTGAAAATACTTAGCAGTCATAGAATGTGAAGTGCTCTTATGAATCAGTAATTGGATAAAGAACAGAAACAAAAAATAAGAAATTGTTCATAAGTGAACTGGAATTAGCAGTGTGCAGTGATGTGGGCAAGTTTGCTGATGATATTAAATTATTTAGGTGGTTAAAACAAAAAGAGATTGCAAGGCGCTCCCAATGATCTCTCCAAACTGGAAGAATGGGTATCAAAATGTGGTTGTATGAATGCAAGATGTAAAGTGATGCACAGTGGGGAAAACTCCCAAATTCAAGTATAAACTGATGTGATTAGAACTAGCAGTGATTGACCAAGAAAGAAATCTTGGCATTGTGGTGGACAGCTTGATGAAAATAATCCTGTGTATGGGTGCTATGAAAAAGGCAAATCAATTTTAGGCATGATTATGAAGGAAATCAGAATAAGACAGACAATATTATTTCTCCCTTATAAAAATCTATGGCATGACCACACCTAAAATGCTATGTTTTGGTTATGGTGACCACACCTATGAGCAGCTGGTTGGTCAGTGTGTTACCAGAATGCTGGACTAGATTGACTTTTGGTTCCATTTTCTTATAAACATAAGTAGAGCCATACTGGATCAGACTAAGGTTCCACTTTAGCTTTCATCTGAACACGCACTGGCCAACCAGTTCCCTGTGTGCAAAGCACTTGTATGTCATCCTTCCACTCATGGTCCCAGCAACTGGTACAGTTGCAGTATATTTCCTCTGAAACCGGAGATAGTACAGGGTCATCATGATTAATAATCACTGATAGATATCCTACGTTTGTTTAATCAACTTTTAAAGCCACCCAACATGGTGGCCAACACTACTTCTTATGGAAGTGAATTTAATTATGCATTGTCTGAAGTGCTTCCTCTTATCTGTCCTGCACTTTTCACCAACCAACTTTGTGGGTATTATGAGAGAGGAATAAAAATGTCTCCTTCTGTACTCTCTCACTTCATGCATATTTTTGCATACCGCTATCATACCTATTCTTTTTTTCCAGGATTCCTAGCATGGCTTTGATCACCAGCTCTAAAGTTTTCATAATAAGATTAAAACAAAACTAAGAACAACATAAGATTAAAACCAGAGGCAAAGAACTGTTGCTTTCACCCCATATGCATTCTGAGATGATAATTTCTGTGGGAGATCTGTATGGCAAAGCATTGTAGGTATTTCAGTTGGCTCTTATTTCTAACTAATAAAGGGTTTGTTGCTGTTTTTACAAATCAGGAATATAGACAATGCAGGAAAGCTACGAAACAGAAACATTTTCCAAGAAGTGGGATGCCAGCCAGTTTCTTAATACTCCAAATACACCATTTTTTTGTAAATAACTATTTTGACTTGAAAATATTAACTTCTGTTTCTGCTTAGCTAGTGAGCAGCCAACTTGTAGTTAAATTGGAACACACACTTTCTTTTACACCTTCAAAGGCATTTAAAAAAGCAATTGTTGTAAAATGTAATTATATTTGGAACGTAAATTCAATGTTCCAAATACTTCCTTTCAATTTGCAAAAAGGTCTGGCTTTGCAATATAGCACGGAAGTCTTTGTAATGCATTACCACTTCAGCAGATGTTAAGAATCAAACTTAATATGCATAAACTTTTTGGTAAATAACAGCAAAGCACTGATTCAGCCTTTCCATACCTTGCCTAGTTAATTACCTGGGCTTTTTATGTTTACATGCAGCGAGTGTATCTCCAGCTATAAACTACATAATTTATAATTGATGTAAATGGTTGTTATTATGTCAATTAAGCAGCTGTGTTCTCCACCTTCTCACTAAATAGAATGAGTGATAAACTGAGTTTACAGGGAGATACCTACTTTTCTTCAGGAGGGATAAAATAAATTACCTAGGTAGACCAGGTTGTCCAATTGTTCTCTAGTGAGGCATACGCTGTATCCAGGCCCCATCTTTTGACCTGTTGACTGCAGCAAATGGTCAATTTCGTCACGCACCACTTCAAGAGCTTCTGGGTGCCGCAGAAGATAATACATGGCCCAGAATGTAGCTGGAATCGTGTTTGCCACAGAGGCCCACATGAAGGCAAAATGATGTGCTGGGAGAAAATAAGTGAAAAGGAAGATTAATAGCATTTATTACACTGATTAGATTTGCAGTGTGCTAATTAAAAGATGTTAGGACACAGACCCAGCCAAGGATCAGTGAATGCTAATGAGGACCAATAGGCTTCTGAAGTCTAATTTTCTGCTTAATGAGAATAGTTTGAAATGTAATTTCAGGGTGGGGGTGGGGGCGAAATAAAGGGAGGAAATGCTGCTCAGTTATAATCTCGCTCATTATCACCATTAAATATCTTGTTTTACCACCTCAGCCAAAAAAGAGAGGGAGCGAGAGAAAATCAATTATCATACAGGGTTGTTTCAGAGTAAAACATTTTATCATTAGCCAATTAGAAAAAACATTAAAAATGTTCAAGGTCGCCATTTTGCCATTTTATTTCAAAGGTCTCTAGTAAATTATCTGATTCTAGACAAGCAAGCACTGAAAAAGTTTGCTACCGGCTTTGTCATACTCTCCAAGCTGCTTGTACATCTCGAACAGATCCATTCTGTTTTGGACCACTTCAGAAACTTCCAAGCATTTTGACATTTTTTTAGGATAAAAAAAATCAATGAGTTCTTTCCGGATCCTTTTGGTTGATCCCAAAAATGCAATTGGTACTTTTAAAGCCAATAAGGGAAACTTGGCATCAAACTTAATAAATTTGTCTCCAATTACATCAACAGCATTGCAACTATCTGGATCACTTCCATAAAGTGTTCTAAAACTGGCTTCAAATATTAAGGTAAAGCAAAACTTGTGCAATTTTTCCATTTTCCAATCTGTTGCTTGTGAAAACCTCTCCTTAAGTAGATCCTGGAGGGTTTTCATCATCTTGTCCGAGAGAGTATCCAGTGGTTTGCCAAGAAGGTACTGATACATCCTGTGCAGGTGCTCATTTAGCTCTGGGAATTTCTCATTCACAGTGGGTGGAAAGTCAAATGCCTTCGATCCTGCTTGATCTGAAAATTCAAATTCCAGATGCTTGTTGCTCCTGATTATAGAACCAAACTGCAGGGGATTCATTAGGAATGTAATATATTTTCCTAATGGAGAAAAAGAAAATATTGAAAATTAGTAGGGCAATTTAAGTTAACCTTTCTTTTCTTATTGTTCTACTCTACCTTGAGAGAGCAATGTAGTAATAAGAGAATATATATTATCTTCCATGTGCGAGGCATTTTCAATGCTGAAATATTGAGATGTGAGATATAGCCAATATGACTAAACTGGAATGATTCTGTTCTAATGGAGATTGATTTATTATGAAACATTGGATATGGACTGCACTGAACAAAATCAACCGCTATCGAAAGAAAATAATTTGGATTTAAGTTTTTAAAATATCTTAAAATACTATTTGATATATTTTTAAAAAATATGTAACTCATTAAAAAGAAATTATTATGTACATGTATCAATTTGCTATAAACTTTAAAGTAGGAAGAAGGTTAGGTTCACATGAAGTCAGCTTTACAACATTTGAAGATACATTTTCATGAAGGGTATTCTTATTGAAATACATAATTATTTTTTTCTAGTCATCAAGAAAATGGTTTTACCATTATCTTTTTAGGTACTGATAATAATAGGTAATTTACATATTATTATACACTACAAATTTCCTGCAGAATCCTTCCATTAACTGGCTTTTTATTTCATTTCTGTTGCTCTGCAAGTAGCATTTTTGTTCTTGCTAACAAGTCATAAACAGTCATTGCAGGATTCTTTAATCAGTTTCTTAAGCGTGCAATCAAATGAGGTTGCCCATAATCTTCTGGGATATTTTATGCAGGGTGGCAGAAGTACAGAGGCAAATATCCTCTCTCCCTGCAAATCATGTAGGTTGCTGATTTTGGCTGTTTAGCTGTGCCAATCTGGAGGGCAACTATCATTCCTTCTTCCTGCAATTCCTCCCTACACTCTCTGATCACTTCTATGATCTCAGAGGCACAGTTGGCTGTGAGGATTGTGGGCTTCAAAAGTGGATCCCTAGCTTTAAGTTCCCTGTAAGCTGCCTTGTATCAAACTGTATTGTATAAAATCATATCCAGCTGGAATGAATTCTAGAACATCTCCCATGTTTTCTTAACTAACAACCTAGTCCTGTATTCCACACCCTACTGCCTTCATGGGACTTAATGAGTTTGGTTAGGATTACAGACACAAAGGCATTCCCACAGGCAGCTCTTTGATCACTTTGTGAAGAGAATGCTGGATTAGGTGGTTCCTCGGTCTGATCCATCATAGATCTTGTGTTAATCCTGTGTGTTTACCTATTTTGTCCAATGTTAATGTACTATCCAATGAAAATAACCGTGCATAACATTTTAATCAATAGCAGCATCACCATCATGCCTCATAGGCAGTATACTAGGAAATGTTGGTTCACTACAACTGGTGGATGCTCTTAACTGATTCTACTCATAGGCACAGCCTTGGAAGCAATCCATGCATTCAGATTCAAAAGAGGAAGAACTGCATGTTTGACTGTTCTTCTGCATAAAAACCAAAGGCATTTTCTCAGATATGGTAGCTTTCCACATAAGCCTTCAGCCGTATAAGAATTTAACCATGGTAGCCATCTTTAAAATGGTGTCTTAAGAGACCATGTTATTAAGAGAACTTCCAAGTGACCATGGAAGCCACTTTTAAAATTATGTCTTAAGAAAACTGTTCTATGTGCCTTTGTAGAATTTACAGGCAGGCTGGGCCGGCGGCAGCACATACAGTGCCAGTCATCAAATGGTTCTTTGATGACAGCTGATGGGCTTGTGCCCAATGGAAATTAGTTACCTTATCACAAATGTTTACTAACCCTTATACTTATTATTATCAAGACTGTTTAGGTATTTAAGAAGCTCAAATATAAGATCTGAATATAATGTAGCATGGAAACACATATACACAAATAAATAAATAAATAAATGGACTGATGGGGTGGGATACATGTCAAATAAATACATGTCAAATAAGTAAATAAAGTTAAACTGAATTAATAAGATTTCAATCATGCATGGGATGGCCACTTACGAATGACAAAAATATCCAACACTAAGAATAAAAGAAGATGCTCGTTTGCATAAATGTGCATGTGCTTACATATGTCTAAATGCAAAGTTAGAGATAATTATTCTAATTTAACTAGTAATACTTTTCATTTCACCATAATGCAGAAGACTGTGAACAGCTGACCTGTGTGCCTGCCTGTTCAATCTGCTGCCTAATACTAACTGTTGATAGGCAACCAATCTGTGGACTCTACTGAGATGGTTGAGGCAGGTGGGATCTTTACTTACTCTGGAATAACCTTTTTCACAACCTAAACATGCCACCACTATACACACTGGACAACCAGGAAGGCTGAAGTGGCAACCCCTGGCTTGAATGAAGTTGCTGATGAGCAGAGCACTGGTTTACCTTAAATGCATTCCAGGTTTTGTAATTATTTCAATCATAAGGTTGTAGAGTAAATCCAACCACTGACATTAGGAAATTTGTTGCTTCCTAGGTAGGGTGGGTGACTCTTTGAAAAACAATAATAATAGTGCCCAAAGGTTCCTTTCATAAGTTGAATAAATTTCTTTAATAGAAGAAGCCTTCCTGTGATTAAAATTCTTCCACTGGAGAGAATCGATGGATTCAACACAATATTATTATTTAGGTGGGCTAAGAGGATGGATAGGTGGCTTGCCTGTGTTCACTTTGTCAAACTTGCTCCATTCTCCCATTCAGAATATGAAACAATCCTATTCATTCCTAAGGAGTGTAGTAAACCCTATTTTAACAGAACCATTAAAAAGATTTATATAGAATTTCAGACTTCAGCAATCCTCACAAAGTTTACTGTGAAGGAAAATGTCCTCTCTTGTCCACTATCCTTCCATTACTTCCCTCATTATCTCTAATTTAAAATCAAATTAAGATTTCCTTCAGCCATAGTGATACAATTCAGGTTTTACATAGAGGAAAGGAGAAAGTATAAGTCCAGGATTTCAAGGGTTTATATCGGATGTCAAAGGTAATCTTGTTGCAATTTTATGATCATGTTGTTGTCCCTTTCCTTGTGAGCTGCCCAGAAAACCTTTGTAGCATACAAATACAATCAATCACTAAATCAATAAATGTATATTCAACCTGGGCATTTTTAAGAAAAATGTTTTATTAGTAGATGCACTGAAAGCCCATTAAGTGTGCTTATAGCAAGCATAGTGATGCAGTAAGATTTATTCTGATTCGTACTGTAAAAGTTTGCATTACTTTTCTGTTGTACAAAACTATTTGGATTGGTAGCTCCACCTTTTCAAAGATCTGCCCAGTGCATCTGCACCCAAAGATAATAAATCACATCTCCAGTTTGTAGAGAGGTAGTAAGTACGAGTTGTTTACAAAGTTCAGCCCCAAACTGCTGAGAGATTCGATTGTTCTCATCCCTCCCCCACCTGCCTCAACCTGGCCACAAATCACACTTAAACAATGAAATCATCTTGAGCATCACTTTTTACTAGAAGCATCAAAGTTGTGACCAAAAGATTGAAAATAGCACACAGTTGTGCTGTATTTCACAAGCTGATTTTGAATGCTATTAACCTGGAGATGTCAGCTAGCTTCCCAACTTTGAGTACTTAGGGTAAACAATTTAAGGTTTCTTTAAAAATTAATTAATATTAATTTAAACCATCTGTTCACCATCTGCTATATTTGAATGAAAGATATGAGCTGCTTTATGATCTCCATTTCAACATTTTGCAAAACAATTCCAAATTCTTATATATTTAAATATCAACATAATTTCAAGTCATTCTTTAAGCATTCATTTTACTGTTGCTCCTGCTCCAAATACGTTTGTGTGAAATAAGATCCTATATGACTATAATATAAGCCTAAACTGCACTCCCCTGGGAATCAGTTGGATTTGTTTCCGATAAGGTCTGTTTAGGACTAAGCTCTCAGTGTCTTTATTCACACGAGTACCATGCAAACCCATTCAAATATAGGGCTTTCTGCAATACATTCCTGACAAGTGAGAGATCAACGCCACTATTTGTCAGAGAAGTTTCAGCTACAGCATGCCAAAAAGTGAACCTCATTTGGCAAGGCAACACCATGACTGAGATGGAAGAAATAAAAGGGAAAAAAATGCGGTAAGTGTTGAGTTCTAATACAGATCAAATATATCTATGATGGATTACATTGCATTAACTTACAAAAGGAAAGCACATTAATTGAATATTTCCAGGAAATAATTGTTTATTATTCATTGATTTAAATATTGAAAGGAAAGAACAGTAATGCCCACAAGATAAAGGACTATATAGGTTTTGAAAACGTGTATTTCTGCACAAGAAACCAGTTGTCCTGTGCAAGACTACCTGAGAGTAATACTCGACAGTGAACATGCATCGGATGTGGATATATGGTCAAGTGATTTCAAAGGAGCGCTTCCATATAAAGCTCAGATCAGAATCAAAACTGTGCAACTAAGTTCGCTTTCAAGTGTCCAGTGGCTGCCCCCACCAAAGAATCAAACTTCATTTTAAGCACAGATACGGGTAGACCTATGAGATTGCAGCAGGCTCTGCTGCATGTGCCATTCTGTCCAGCATCCTATAGTTTCCAAGACTGCAGCCAATTCATTTGGGGCAGCGCCCTCAGCCTGCTCAAAATTGTCTTTTGGGCAATGTACAGCCTGTCCTGTTTTTTACTACTGTAGATAACATCATAGTTTTAGGGTCTGATTCTTTTCAGATTTGCACAGAAAAAAAGTCGTACAGGTCCCAGCATATCCCAGCATGCTGGGACTTTTTTCTGCCCATCACAGACATTTTTCTGCCTAACCTGCATAGGCTTGCACACTTAGTATCTACTCTACCATCTTGAAAAAAAATCTCCTTAGCAGCAGACACCTACAACTCCCTCCCTCTCTTTTTACTGCTAGGTAAAACAATTTTTACATTATCTAAAAACTGATTTATATGCTACCTTTTCCACTGGTCATGATGGTTCACATAAAAACAACAGCATAAAATCACAGAACCAATAAAAA